TCCTCCCCTTTGCTATAAGCCACATGGAAGACAGCACCCTCTAGTCTTTCTGTTGGAAGCTGTCTCACTCACTACTCATTACAAAATCTAGGGATGGAAAAAAAGACTCCTGCCTACTGGCTAGCAACTTGCCTGTCTCCAGACCGTTCCATACTTGACATTAGAGAGTCAGAAAGATCAAACACAGACGATTTAATCACACAACAGCAAAGCGATGCTTTTCAGCATGATAGCTGTTAACTTAGCTGAATTATACTTCGAGTCTTTAGATCTGGCCTGAAGTTCACTGCTTTAGGCACATACACAAAGCCATTTGTGGGCTAAAATATTCAGCAAGATCTAGCTGCCTACAGAGACTGATCAATTAACTAAATGTGAAGAAAAGTTAGCAAGAGCCACTGAACTGACTGCAAATATGAGAGATGCTCTGAAAGTAACACCTCCTATTCCATTATGCTGGCCAATGACATAAGAGGTGGATGTTGTTGGTATGAAATTAGAGGCTGAACCTTCCCACCAATATTCATTTTGTTGCCATGTGACATGACAGCAGGGAGGCAGGCTGACAAAATGGAATCTGACATAGAAGTGTGTATGAAGCAAAGATAACCAAATTCTTCCATACAGAAAGAATGGCATCCACTGACTTTCATAAATGCTTGCTGAACATTTATAGAGACTAAATAGTGAATGTAAGCACTATGAGGCAGTAGGTGGTGTGTTTCACTATTGGTGACAGTAACATGAAAGACAAGCCATGCCCTGGATGGCCATGCACAGCTGTCACACCACGAAATGAAGAGCAACTCAACGAGCTCGTGTGAACAAATGAACTGATTACAATCAGGGAACTGCGTATGGAGCTGAACATTGGCTTCAATGTGTTGCAAATGATGGTGGCAATGTTGGAATATCAATTGTGCCAGCTGGATCTTACAAATGCTCACAGGAACAAAAAGGTATGCAAGTTGGTTGGGACCTACTAAACTAATACAAGGCTGAAGCTGATAATTTCCTGGATCACATCATCATCAGTGATGAAATGTGATGTCACCACTACGAGCCAGAGTTAAAAAGGCAGTCCACCGATTGGCAACATGTGAATTTCCCATTAAAAAAAAAATCAAGGCATAGCCCTCAGCTGGTACAGTGATATGCACTGTCTTGGGATAGTAACAAGGCAATCCTTCAGGATATCCTGGAATCCAGACAAACCATCAACTCTGACTGTTACATCATGACACTGGCTAAGCAAAAGGTTCAAACTTCCAGAGTCAGGCCAGAGAATAACACAATGTTTCTCTTGCAGCACAATAATGCTCGCTCCATCCTAGTTTGAAGACAGTGGCACACACTGGCAATCCTGGCTGGACCATCCTACCACACCCAATGTACAGTCTGGATTTGGCACTTCATGACTTCCATCTGTTTGGGCCAATGAAATTTGGACAGCATGGCCAATATTTTCCTAGCAATTACTCTGTCAAAGTAACTATGAAACACTGATCACCTTCACTGGTGCAGGTATTTATGAGCATGGCATGCATGCTCTTGTTCACTGCTGGAGAAAATTCATAGCTAATGGTACTGATTATGCTGAAAAACAGTGTCTGTAACTGAGAAACTGCTCTATCAAGTAATGAGAGTGTGGTCTTCATATCTGTTGTAGTTTCCATGGAAATAAATAGGAAGCATTACTTTCAGAGTAACCTATGTATTATTCTGATAACAGCAGTAAAGCTTTGAGAACACATCTCTCTGGAAATTCAGAGATGTGCTAGCAAATGTTTTCTAAAATCTATACAGGAAAGTAAGTCAATCTTCCAGAAAACAGCTCAGTGAATTTACACAGTCCTATTCAATTTATTACAACTTAATGAAATAAAAGCCTGTAAGGAAGAAAATGGGTGCAATATATACAAGAAAATTTCAAACCTAAATCCCATCTTCAGAGAAGACAATGGAATTTTGCTTGATTAAATATTCAAATCAAATACACGGCTTCACAATAGTAAGGCCAGAAATCTTGGATTGTTTACATGGTTCCCAACTAAATCCTCTTTATGTATTACAAAACACAATCCCAATATTTTTGTAGCTGGATGTAATGTGAAGCCAAATGTGTATCTGCACTGTTTTGCTGACTACAGTTCAAAAAACCCTATAAAGCCTGTATTCAATGCCTTACAGGGAGGTTGTTCTATTTTTCTTTAAAAATAAAAATAAAAATAAATAAAAAAATTCTACAATAGATTTTACTTCTGTGGTCTAAAACCGATAGTATTTTTAGCAAAGGAAACACATCCCTCACATCCCTGCCTACAGATATTACATGTTGGTTTGTTCTGCATTCAGATGTTTTTTCTTCGCTTTTGTTATGAATGCAAACTACGATGCACAAGAGCACACCTCACTAATGCAAATCTTCATATATGGTGGTCTCCAGCTGACCACTGTGAGCCAGATCAAAGTTACTCATCTTCATCCCCTGGCTTCTGCACCCAGCTCCCTGGCTTGAGACCATAAATCTATCAATACCTTCCACCCCAGCTACAACGGAACAGTTTGTTAAGTGCAAAAGGATCAATAAATCAGACCTTAAGTTCAGTCCACTACTATTTCAAGTTAACTACAAAGAGATTATTTTCCTTTAGCCTCATACCTGTACAAATTTAGATGAACTGATTATTTGGGTTCAATTCCCTCGCTTGGTGCAGGAGTTTGAAACAGTTTTAACTACAGCTCCAAGCAGTGCAATCCTTCACTGCTGCAGGAGATGCCAGACATTCAGATGCCTGAGAAAAAACCCCTCCAAAATGGACATAGTAGCAACATACACATGTGTGGGTGCAAAAGGGATTTTCAAATGTTCTTTTACTGTGTTTATGAATCCCACAAAGCTGCTCTGTATCGAGAGTGGGGGAGGAGAAAGCATAAAAATATTAATCAGTTACTTATCTTCTGACATGTTCTGGATCAACATCTGGTGCATGTGCAAGTGATGAAGTATGGCATTTGGCACAAAAGCTTATTTAATCTTCTCTTCCCAAATTGGGCAGGGAAAATTAGCACTCCTAAAAATTAAGTTTCCAGATCCAATTTTTTTCTTTAAAATAAATTGCCAACATTGTATAGGCTGTCTGCTCTATTTTGGAAAATGTTTTTTGTCTGAAAAAAGACTGATCTTAAGTAGATTATCTATGGGCTGTTTCCTACCGCTTTTTGTCTTCCTTGCAGTATCTAACTGCCAGGGTTTAGTAGACAAGTATAGTCTAGGTTCAGCTGTTTTATTTCTACTTCTATCAGCTCAAACTGAGATAGCTCTCACATCTGTTTTATTTCTGAAAGCACTGCATAGGAAAAGTGTCCAGCTCATTCTAATCAAGCATAAACTTTCCTATAAATAACTAAGGACCTAACGAAACAATTGTTTGGAGGAAATGAAAGTGTGTTTAGAAACTCAAATTCCTCTACACTGTATGCCTGAGCTGTTCCAGTTAGAATGTCTTCCTGACAGCATGGATCAGTTGCTTTAAGATGCTGTCCCCGGAGTCAGCAAACTGAAACTATAGCAGGAAATCCAGGTATTAACATCATACTACTTGCTAATTATAAAACATCATTTCACATTCTGACATTATTCACTTCTAACCTCCTTCAACTAAATCACTTATTTGCTTTCTAATCAGTTTGACAGGAGAGAGTGTCTGACACAAGACAGAGAGGTGATCTTTTAATAAGACAGCAGTTCAAAGATTGCAGCTTTTAGGTATAATAACAACCTTAGTTTGATTTGCTGCTCCACAAAGAAGTTGTAGTTTCTGAAAAAAGAGCAGAAGTTTAAATCATTTTAAAAGCTTCAAGTTCCTGACTTGTGTTCCTGTTTCGGCTTTTTAGTTGAAGTTAGGTATTAACCATCTTAACCTGGTTTGCCCAATTTCCTTCTTATAGCTTGAGCCTCTGCAAGCATTATTAAATGTCTTCCACCTTCTGTAATTTCTTTTAAACACAACTCAGTGTTTTGTCTGCTGAGTGCTACCAGATCAGACATCACATCCTATGCAAACATGCTCTTGGAATTAGATGGACATTTGAACTTACTTTGGATGCAAATCTTAGCTCTGATTTTTTTCTTAAAATCTGAACCTCGCTCCCAAAGTACTGAGGTACTCTACAACATCTCTCTGCATTTCTCAGAGTCGTGGGAGGATATAGTAAGAAAAAAAAAAAAAGAAAAAAAAAAAGGCAGCACCAAAGATTTTTCTCCACTAATTACTGATAAGGAACTAGTAGAAACTCGAAGAAAAAAAAACTTCTGACTCCACTTCTTCATGGTAAAAATAAGATTTCTTTTTTACAGCACTATCTGAAATGTAGTATTTTCACTGTTCCAGTTACATGAGAAAATGACTGAGGCATGCTCTCTAAAGTGAAGGACATCATGCATTGCTGTTACTCTTAAAAACGTTTTAAATACCCATTGTGTATCCTGTTTATCTGGCACAAGATAACTACAGCATCGCCAAGACTTGTCATTTTTTTTTTTAATCTTAATAAAGAACCAATAAGCCAAATCTCGACTCCCAGCAGCTGATAATTTAGGATTATATTTTTAATTTCCAGCTGCTGTCTTTTGTCTATCTGGTTGTTATTATTCATTATTATTCGCTATTTTCTTTCAATGACAGTAAATCCTTCAGATATAATTACCATTGTAGCAATTTGCCTGCTTGCTGAGTATGATCTTTTACTATTGATTATCAGAATGACAAAATTTTACACTAAAATATCACTGATCAAAAAGACAACTGTTCCTCCACTGCACAAGATGCTAAGCAGACCTGCAGCAATTCTGGCTAAAGCAGACCCGAATGGTTCATGAGGCTTAAGCAGGTTACATAAAATACTTTAACTGCGTAGGTAGGAGAGGCTCTGCAAACAATTGACTTTGCAGCTGAGAAGGCAGTTAGCAGAAGCGAGGAGATTGGAAAAATACAAACCTGCACATCGTAAGTCCCATTTAATAAGACAGGCCTCTGGGAATTGATGTCCTGCAGCACCCCCGAAAGCACAGTGCGGTTGACTTTCTGGAAGTCTTTGGAGTGGCTGAATTGCACCATGTTGTGGAGAGCCAAAATTTTAGTGTCAAGCTCAGCATCCTGCCTGGTGCGGTTGTGCAGTCCTAGGTGGTACTTGCGGAAGTGTTTGATGAGATCTGTGGGGTCGTTCCCGTAGTAACCATACCCACAGATGTTGCATTTGAAGTCCTGAAGCTCTGGAGACAGAGGCGCCGTATCTGGGTTATCGTTTACCAACAAATCTGCTTTAGATTTGTTCAGCCTTAAACCCCCATCTGAAGGCACTTGTGGGTTTTTTGAGGCCATGGGGACCGGGCTTGAGCCTTGGCCATCAGTTTGACCACTTTGCACTTGCGCTGTTTCATCTGAAGCTTTTGGCGACATCTGATGCTCCTCATTTGTCTGTGCTGCATCTCCTGACGGGGCACAGACCACATCTTGGGTGTCATCTGCATCTGATTTCTGAGGAGACTTCAAGGGCTCACAGATTCCCCCAACAGCTGGAGATGAGAAAGCCAGCATATTTCTGTCTGTCACCTCATCATGAGGGAAGGATGGAACATTTCCTCCCTTATTGTGGCTTTCATAATTGAAGCCAGCCTTTTCACTCAGCACTGAGCTTTTCAAGTCCTTTTTAATGCTGGAAGATGGCTCTTGGACATGCGTGCAAAGCTCCTCCTTGTTATTCAACTCTGCCGCATCAGGCTGGTCAGTGTTTTCTTGCATCTGCTCTGTGGAAAATTCTTTTTTCCTTCCAGACTCTTCACTTTCAGTACCTGTAGACTCAAGGGTCTGTACCTCACCTTCACTAGCAACGTTTCTTAGAGGGGGGTTCTTTTTCCGGACCATATCTACCACAGAGAGACAAAAAACAAACAAACAAACAAAAAAAAAAAAACCTATAGAATTATTCAAGATACATAACAAGTCCGACACTTCTTAAAGCATTCTTAGCTATACAGATACATCAGATTTTCAGAGAAGTTTTGTCAAATAGGCTTTTAGTCTACATAGCAAACTGGAACTTTGCATTAAAAAAAAATGGTCACATGAGACTGAACTCAACTAAGAGAACTTTAAAGCCTATGAAAACATTTCCATTGCTGGAAGTGTAATTCACAGTGAGTGAATTACATCTTTCATTATGTTTTCTGACAATAACAGTCCAGCAGAGTTAACATTAAATAAATACTTCCTTTAAAACACGTTTTAAAAAATAAGATAAAAAATAAGCCTTCGTAGACTAACGTCCATATACTGTTCAAGCACATGTAACATAGCTTACAAAAAAAATACACCTAAAAGACATAGTCAGGAGCACTGAAGTTACAAAGGAAACAGATTTAGGAGAGTAAGCAACTTGGAGGTTTCAGAGAAAGTATTTTTCCTAAGCAGGTATCAGTTTCTCTATAGCAAAAGCTCGCCCTTGTTCCGCCCATAAACTTCAGACAGCATTACATGGATATTCAAGAGTCTGGCCCCACAGTCCATTATTCATGTAATTAGTTCTATTTGCCAAACAAAGAGAAACTAACTTTATTAGGAAGCCCGCTGTCAATAAAATTTTACAGGCCTGGACCCAGACATTTGACATGGCTGTGCTGCAGTGCAGGGATCTACCCAGAGAACACCTGGAACCCACGTGGATCCCATCACACCAGCCCCTCTGCTCAGCCCCACTTCTCAGACGAGGCCACCGCTGCTGACTTTGCAGGCATGCCTGCTGCATCCACTTAGCAGAGCTCAGAGAGGACAGCAATGAGGAGCAGAGAGAAGGAAGCAGCCTGCTACCAGTGAAAGCTGCTAGCTGGACATGGGATACTGTGGGACACAAATAACCAGAACACACCAGGTAGTAAGCCAAATTCCTGATGCGCTACAAATCTTCACCTTCCCCAGCCTACTCAGAAAAAGAAATTATCTAAAACTTCCCTTCACTCTCCACTGCATGGCTCTGGATTTGATATTCACCACCAGCAGCTTTGATCCGTTTGTGTTCACATGCTAGCTATGGGCAGAAGACAGATGTGCTACAACTTTTTCTATGCTCTTATCTTTGCCAATGCTGTATACAATGATGGATGCCTCTCCTTGCCAAATTGCGTGTGGTCCAGTGGCAGCCGCCCGCAGAACCACACACAAGATGCAAGCTGCAGATTGAAGTCCCAGCCCCATTCCCAGGACCGCCGTCACTGGGCACGTGCGGAGACAGTATATATATATATATATATATATATATATATATATGTATGTATGTATGTATGTATGTATGCATGTATTTATAGCTCTGCAAAGGGAGGACCACCTGGTGATTCTAGGAGCAACACTGATGCACTCCAAATGGTGCTAAAACCAGACCTTTGAAAGCTGAGGATGACCTTCTCAAAACAGTACTTTGAGAAGTACGGCTGGGGACGGAGGTTAAAAATAAAAGAACAGGCGTCTGTACATCCTCTTATTTACATCTGCTCCACATGAAAGGGCACTGCATGTTACGTCGATAAAAACAGACAACTTCTTAAGGGAAGTGTTCAACTTGTCTCTTGGGCTGGCTCTGTTGTCTTTGTGGTTGAGCCGATCCACAGGCAACATGGGGCTGCAGTGAGACAGCTTTCACACAGAATGCCAGCTTCTACTACAGAAATCTTGACACTCCGTGTGGTCCTAATAGGTTTCTTAAAAGCCCACTGTGATTCCTCACTGTAGGAGGCACACATGCTTTGGAAGCAAGTGCCTCCTCTTTAACATCAACCACACCTACCAGGATATGTGCGCACTGAATTTCACTGTTTTTTCCCCAATAACTTTTGAACCATGAAGTCACTCAGAACTAAGAGAAAAGAAGGATTTCCTGGTGTGGTAAGAGAACTATTACACTACGACTCAGCCTGCTACAACAACATACGCACATATATAATTCTAGGTATAAAGATAGTCCTTTTAGCACTGCTGCTTCTCTGCAGGAATCCGTCAATGCTCTTGGTTGACAAACACTAAAAATACTGGTGGGCATCTCTGGTAGGTGTTCATCTAAGCCTGCATTTTTTGTCTTGGAACCTGGCTGCACAGCTCAAACTGTTTCTAAAATAACTACTGGTTAAATGCACTTCATGGCAGTTAGAGGACAGAAAGAGGAGCCTGGACTGTGAGCAGCGAAGAAAAATCAGAAATCAAGAAAGTAAACATTGTAGCTGTTACCTCGGTCAAAATTAAACAAGACTGAATGCAATGTTTTAAAATGTTTTTGTTATAGATATTTTTGGCAGATAAGGAAAGTTTAGAGATTTTGCTATCTTCATGGCAACTCACAGAAGAGAGTCAGAGAGGACAGAAAAGAAATCCCTATAAAGCAGAGAAAAGAAAAACCTGGACCGTACACAGTCTAACTAGACAGTACTCCAGATTTAGATACTTTAGCTCAAATTTTCCTGACATATCTGTATGCTTGTGCACTAATGGAGGAGGGAAAAAAAATTGCTTTGGGGAGCTCTTTCATGCAGTATTCTATACTCAGAGAGTGAAAAAGAAGACAACAACATTGATTTAAACATTAAAACTTTCTGAAGTTCAACCGAAAAGGATTTTCTCCCCTTTTTACTTTTCATTTCTGAAAAATCTTCTGACATATATTTGCTTGATATCCACTCAGGGGGACAGTAAAAAAAAGACAGTATTTTTTTGTCGCTGAAATTCTACCGCTATCGTTTTTCAGAGACATATTATGTAAATAAAACTACATCTGCAGTACTCCTAAATTGAAGAAGCCATCCCCTAGCAAGTAATAAGTTACATACAGAAAGAATATAGCCACTCTGAAATTATTATTTCTAAGACAAATAACAGATTGCACAATGTTTTATTGTGTGCCAAGAATGTTTTCAGTTAACAATTTCACTTGAAAAAATGGATCACATACTTGTAAAATCATACCCAGCATTGACTTCATAAGGCATGTGGCTTTAGAGTGCTTTATACAATTATTAATTCTATTAGTCAACTAGCAGGCAGGCTAATGCAATTGTCTTAGAAGATGCACGGAAGACACAGAAGACATTTTGAGAGCTGATCTGTATATCTGCAAAACAAAACAAAAAAAAAGGTTTTCCTTCCTAAGTTATGTATTCAAAATAAGCTTTTTATTTACAAACATTGTTATGCCTATTGTACATTTACATGCATCTATTAGTGGGCACTATGCAAATAGTGTCTGTTCTCTACTTCTCTTAAGCATGAGAAATACCATAGCTGTCTTCTCCTTAGACAGTCTCTCTCTCTCTTTCTCTCTCTCTCTCTCACACACACACACACACTCAAGAGAAAGCAAAACAAAAAAGCAAAAACTGTCCTAGATGTAAAGTCCACCAAAAAGTAAGTTTAAAATGAGCTGTAAGTTTTGAAAATCAGCTGGATAAATGCTGTAGAAACGTGTCTTGAAAATTCACATATATCAGTGGGTATTTATTGTAAAGGGACTGGGTTAAAAGGAAGTGAAAATGGCATACAAATAACTGGTTCCAGTCCAGGTTCTGCTGTCAGCAATTGCAAGTTATCACCTGCCGGCTGCCTACAGCTCCAGTTGCAATGTATTTCGTGGTATTAGTTTAGTTGCCAATGGGTAACCAGCCACATCTCAAAAATGCTACCACAATAACAAACGAAATTCTTGGCCATTTAGTAGAGGCCAACTGCTGAGCAGACACTAGGACAGAACTACCTTAACTACATGCAAATGGTCATGTTTCCAAAATGAAAGGAAAAAAAAAAAACAACCACTAAGCTTGATGTAAATGAAAAGGTGTCTTGAACTTTGTGTATGTCCCAGGTTGCAGAACTCATCCATAATCCAGGGGTCAGTATCTTATTTTCCTTACACTTAAATTATCCTTTAAACCATATGGGTTTGTTTTACCTGATATGATCACTCTCAACTATTTTCAAGTTGAACTAATACTAAGAGCTACATACAGTTTCCCTCAAAACCAGGCAAGGCTACTCTGCCCAATTCCTGTATCTAACAGAGGTTTTTCTGTTTTGCAGCCACAACAGTTTGTACCTGGAAGCAGAAGGCGGAATCCTCTATTAATTCACAATAATAAACTACCATAGTGACTAGTGCACTTGTTTCAAAAAAGAAAAGCAAAAAAGCAAATTCTGATAAGCAACAGTTTCTTACGAGCAGTGAACACAAAGGCTAATTATCTGCTGATCATCAGCTCTCTCAATGGGTCACTCTTGCTACTCTTTACTTTTACTGAACATGATGACTTGTCATCAAAGCCTATTGCAACAGTATGGCTGTTGCCTTCCGCTTGCTCTGCAGGTTTAGGTCAAGTCTTAGTCATATTCTCTTTTTAACAGAATTTATGAAGAGGTCTGAATCTCGTGATACACCGCTGAATAATATCTGTACAAGTCTACAAACAGCAAACTGAGTCAAGGGCCTAAAAAGACTGTGATGTTATCCATCAGTATGCTGCAGCATCAAGTTAAATGAAAATACACATTTATATTCAACAGGCTCAAGTAGGGCCTCTTTGTTCAGGTATAGTAAAATTAATACTTTTACACTCATATATATTACACACCCCCACACGCATATATATTACACATACAGTGCTTAAACATCCATCATTTTGCCAGAATAATGCAGCAAAAAATCATTAACTCTCAGTGTCTCAGCTTAATATATGTCTAATACTTACCTATCTCACAGGAGTGTTGTGAGGCTTAATTAATTAGTGACTGTAAAGCACTTTGTGATCCTCTAATGAAAGGTGCTACATAGCACAAAGTATTATTAAAATCATTAGGACCACAAAAAAGCCCCGTGGAATTCTAGCCTACACTGTCTGTTGGGGTTAGGAGTGATCTTATTATTAAAAGGAGACCGTCAAGCTAATTTTCATAATTTTTTCAAGATCTTTCATCCCCCTTTGCTGTTGTGATAGCATGTTAGTAGCTAGAAATTTAATCTTATCATCTTAATAACATACACTCATGTAGTTTGTTACTGCAGGGCTAAAGAAGAGAACAGGGCTTTTGGCACTCATCTGGCTTTCCCTTTTAAGAAAAAAAAAAAATTGAGAGACATATTTTGACACCTTCCCACACTCCACCCCACCAGGACAGCTGATCATGTGAGACTGCAGGATGCTCAACAGAGCTGCATGGGAAAATACTGCTGTGGTTTTAATTTCTCTCTCTCTTTTTTTTTTTTTTTTTTTACTGTGGAAAAAAAAAAAAAAAAAGAAAAAAGATAAAAAACAAAACCCAGCTTATTACACATAAATATGCTACAAAGACTGTCTGCAGTGCTTTATATAAAAAAAACCCTTCAGCATTCAAAGCATCTGCTTCTATCCCGCACATAAAGCCCTAACCCGTCTGGAGCCTGTACCTTACACCCTTTTCCCCACTCTCTCCACAACAGAGCAGCTGTAAGGAGCAAAGGCTCCAAAGCCAAAAATGTTGTGTCCTGAGAGAGAACTTCTACGTGTTACCAGCTGGGGAGCAGCACTCTGTGCAGCCCTCGGTGCAACCAGAAAGCCAACAAGACCATCAGAACAGCCCCAAGTTCAAAGGCTTTGGACTTTTCTAACTAAAGCATTTTCAAAATTAGTAATCAACACCATCTGTAAATATTCTGGATAATCCAGGTGAAATTGCCCCACGTTGTCTCTGCTGAAGATTATCAAATGTGCTCCCTGGTCTACACGAAATGCAAACCACCCTAGACTAAGACACAGCAAGACTGGTCAAAGCTCCCGTCTTCGCCTTTCTCTGCTGAGAAAGGAAGAGAAGAAAAAAGACTTTGGGTAAGCAACTCCAGAATCAGATCCTAAACCAGGGGAGGGCAGAATAACCTTAACTACAAGCAATTCCTTCTTCAAGTAAGACCTCTTCCCCAGCTTCTTCAAATACATAACACAGGAAGCTGTAAGACTAGGACACCATAGTACTAAGCAAGAGCAATTAATTATTAAGTGCTTATTAAGCTATATATATGTTTTTCTACAAGCCTGTCATTGATTAGAGTAGAACAAGTCTCTTCATATCAGTAACATTTGGCAGGATCAGATGCTTCATTTGGTCAAGATATCTACTTGATATTCTATACTCTGCATGCACCACTGAAGCCATGATAGCTTCATCAATCTAGAAAATGCAAGAAGAAAAATCATCTCTAATAGCCCTACAGTCCTATAGCAAAATGCTGTTGTGCTCACCACATCCCTTCTCCTGCTGCATTTCCAGGTCCTTCCACGTGGTCCCTGACCACCAGCTCACCAAGAGCTGTTCATAATTCTTTTTCAGCAGTTTACAAGAAAGAGAGAAATAAAAAAGAAAGGAAAAAAAAAAAAAGTATTTTGTTGAAGCTTGCTCGTTCCTATTAAAATTTACTTTCCCAACACTGATCATTCTCAAAGCTCTTCAGGTGCATTTTTGGACATCTTAAATCCTGTTCAGCTATTAAGCATCATCACCTTCAAACAGCTCTCATCAAATAAATCTCTTTATTAATTCACAGCAAATTAATTCAAAATGCTCTTTTCTATTACCATATGCTTCAGAAAGCAGCACAGTACTAGCAGTCATCCAGCCACTGGAATAAATCTACAGAGAGAAATGCAAAAACAAGAGTGTTCCAGGAGACTTACAGGCAGCGTTCTCAGCTCAGCACTGAACCTGGTTCCTTGTGACTTTCAGGCCCACATCCCTCCCTGCATTTCAGCAGAGAGAGCTTCAACTTGGCACTTGGCAAAAGACCAAGATCCTGTAATTTAATAATGTACAGAAAGAGCACCTTGCGCAAAAGCCTAAATGCTCCAATTTATCATGACAGTTACAGGATAAGCTGACATTTTATTTATATGGAAATTAGTCTCCAAAACAACATAAAAAAGCCATACTTTCAAAGAATATTGTGCCTTTGTTTCCCTGCTCTGCATTTAACTAAACTCAGCTTTGTGTATTAAAAGTAGTTTAATTTTTATGTATTGATGCTGCTTTGCATGCCTCCCAATCTCTTGTTATTGCACTGCAGGGAGAACTCAGCCTGATTTACTTACTGCAATGAAATAACTGACTTCTGCCAGAACTGACACCTCCTAGGAAAGCCCTACCATCCTCACTGAATCTTCTGGTTATTCTATTAATTTGCAGTCGTTACTCTTTAGAGGATTGCAGAGCATTCCCTATTAGATCAGACCAGAGGTCCATTTAGCCTGGTGTGCTGCCCTGGAGAATGGCCAACACTAGATCCTCCAAAGAAGGTTCAGTGCCTTTGGACTGACACAGAATCGCCTACCTCTGTGAAAAATAAATCGCTGCTAATCCTCAACACTCAGACAGTGGCTTATTTTCTGAAGAGTAAGAAGGCTTATATCCTTTAATTATCTCTCATTTATGTTCTACGATTTGTTGTTAAATAAATCTGTACATCCTCACTTCCAATAAAAGTATCCAGTGTCTATCTGAACACTATGACAATCCTGGTATCGTGTAGCTCTGCATTTACAATCTAATTATGAACTATTAAGAGCAAATATTTTCAGCATTTTGAATTTGATCCTTTCCACTAGAGTTTCCTGTCATTCTTGCACTGCTAATTGGGATTAACCAAAGGTTCTCTGGACTGCTGGTCCATCCATCAAATCCCCCCTATTCATCCTATTCATATCCTTATGGTAGAAAAGCAATATTTCCAAACTTTCTGGAAGGTGTGGTGATCTCAAATGTTTCAATTTCTTTTCAGCCTGAGTAAACACAATGTTCTTTTTAATCCAAACGTCCTTTGAAGACAATGGGAGTTTAGGGTTTGCAAATGACTCAGAACTAAACCAAGTTGAGTGTGTTGGCAGAACCAAGCACAGTGTTACACTGGGTGAGGAATGAAGGTGATCTGGCTCCCAGGCAGGAGCAACCAGGTATAGCTACAAGTGATTCATTCCTTCTTTTGCGTTAGACATACAAGGGGTTGATCCTCTTTTCCTTGACACTAATGGTAAAAGCCTCACTGACTTTGAGAGAAGCATGAATGAGAATCGCAGCTCCTTTCTCTGCTAGGTGAGGCTTATTATACGCAACAAAGAAGACATCCAAGTTCTTCAACCCAAAACTTCAGTTGAACTAAAAATTATTTAGGAGATGAAACAGAGAAAGAGCATGTTTTTGGCTAACATTCCAGAGAAGTTCAAATGATGTTCTTTCCACGTACAGGCAGAAAAACAGGAAAAAAAAGACCAAAAAAATACCACCACCACACTGAAACAGGGTTGAAATTTCAGCTATATGAAAACTACAAATTGAGAAGACTACAACCTGAACCTGAAACAGCAATGTGAGATCACCACCGGAGAGGGCATTATTGCAGTACTTTTCCAGGCAGACTAGAACTAAGATGAACGTGAGTTTGCAAAAATGTCCTTTTTTTTTTTTTTTTAAAGAAAAAAATTGGCAAGAGTTTCCAGACACAAGTTACATAGGTAAGACAGGGCAACCGAGGGCAAAAGGAGTTGAGCCCATGCACATCAAAGCAGACTTTGGCTTCGGGTACCTATCCAAGCTGAGCCTTCAAAGGTTCTGATGTTCCCCTATTGTTTAGTTTGAATCTTGTCTAAGCTTGCTCAGGAGAACCCACATTCAGAAGTATGGAAGAAGGGAAAAAGAACACGCATTTTCCAAACAGCGATTTTAAAACAAAACAAAAAAATGTAAATCTACATGCTGCAGGGTAATACAGGTAAGCGTGGCTAGCTATTGTTGCTCCATGCTTTTCAATTTCCATATATTAGCATTCATTGCTGACATTATTAAATCCAAAGTTATTTGGATGCTTTGATCAGCAAATTGAATCTTGAGTCTATATACGATGTACCTATATTCACGTAAAGTTTACAAAACTATTGTATTTCCCTATTCTAACGCTTCCCCCCACATGCTGTGAGTTTCCATATATCCCACAGCCATACATTCCAAACACAGACTACTTTATTTAGTAATATATTCAAGAATTTAGATAAAAGGAAAAGCGATGGAAAATGTTTGGCAATCTCTATATAAACAGTTTTTATACATTTGGGTTGAATCATCCAGTAAACTCTCATCCTGGTATTCCTATGACAGATACAACTTTCATCACCACTACGGCCTCTTGACTTGGAGGTCATAATACAGGGGGATTCGTACTACATCTCCGATACTTCCTACATCTATCACAAAAATTAACATCACATTAAATTTAAGCAAGTCAGATTTCACTGGTTTTGCACTCGGCGCAAGTAACCCCGCTCTCCATTGTGAATGGGGGAGAAACAACAGCAGTGGCAACCACAACAAAAGAGTGGATTGTGTGTTCTCCACACAAAACAGAAAGCTGTGCCTATTCAAGAAATCTTGGCCACTTGTCAGAAATCAGAGAACTGACGCTGGAGCCCAGTAGCAGCTCCAGCCAAAGCAGTGGTGAATTACCTTGCCTCTGGAAGCATCCCCGTTACCTAGGAAAGGATCTCTGTTGCAGTACAGACCATACGGACCCCCCACACTATGTCAGAAACACTTTCTTAAAACAAAGTAAAACAAAAAAACGACCAAAGCAACTGAAAACGGATTCTCTGTGAGTACTGCATCTGTTGTTTGCCCCTTTTATCTATTATTTATATTTCTTTTATGTTGAGGAATGAAGTAAAAAGCTCACAAGAAAGCTACTCTTGCAACTTATCCAATCACAGTGTTTTGTTACGAACATGCTTTAAAACCAAGAAACGTTTTTCAAATGGCTCTAGGAATCAAATACAGCATGTTCACTACGAAACATGTATTCTAGTTTACCAATTCATTCAGGTGGGAGAGGGGCAAGGAGGGCACAGAGCAAGGAGACTCCTGAAGCTCTGCTGTGGGCCTTCTGCGCTGATATTCCTTTACAGACAGCAAGGGGTGCCAATTTCAGCTGCTGACTGCTGGACGAATACACACAGTGCAAATCATGCTCTTCTTGAATCAGTTTTTGCCCAACTCTCACATAAACGTTCCATGAGAAAATCTCATAATGCCTGCATAAGTGATTTTATGAATCTAGCTTTCAGCTTTTGATAGGAGACTTGTTACTCTACTGGCTTTCATTCCCTATTGCGTGGTGGGCTAGTGCCAAAAGCCTTCACAT